GAAACCCTCGGCGCGGAGGTGAAGCTGGGTGCAGCTCGGGCCAGCGATTGGGCGAGACACCGACCAGAACTACTTTCTACACAAACAGTGTGGGATAGTTACCTTGCCTCTCTCGCACTCTACTCCTTTTCCTGTTAAAAAAAAAAAAAAAAGTTCATTCTGAGTCGATCCTATCTTCCGGATCCCGAAACTGCCCAGTGCAATGAACGCAGCCAGTAGTCCGCGTGACGGCGCGGAAGCCTCTGCGCCCCGGGTGACCACAACAAAGCTAGGCGGGGAGTGCCGGCCAATCCCTCGTCGCTTGACATCCTCTCTCCCCCTTTCTCCCTTCCTTGCTTCCCAGCTCCAAGTGAGATCCAGTTCGGAGGCGCGCGCGCGCGCGCGCACGCTCTCCTCTCTCTCTCTCCCTCTCTCTCCACGGCGAAATCAGACATCAAATACCCAAACGACTCCCTCCCCATTTCCTCCCACCCGATTCCACCGCAGCCCCCAAAGACTCTCCAGGGTGGCCCTTGTCCGCAACGCTTGGAGGGAGCGCTCTCTGAGTTAAGCTGGTTTCTTCTTGTCCTGGAAAAAAAAAAAAAATGAATGCTGACAAGGGTCCTGGATCTGCACAGGGAAGAAAGTACCACTTAAAAGGAAAAGAAAAGGAAAACAGTCAAGCCCGGCGGTGGTGCCGTCTGCAGAGCCTGCTACCCCTGGATATTAGTAGAAAGCCTTCGGGCGCGGTAACCGGCTAGCAGAAGAGTAGGGGCCCGCGGAATTCACAGGAACAAAAGCAAGAGCGCCATGCCAAACGTCCCCAACACGACCCCGTTAGGCATGAGCCCGGAGTGATGGGGAAATAAACTAGAAGTAAGTTTCTTTTTTTAAAAAAAATTAAAAGATCTGAGCTCTACCGTACTTTCCCTGTGGTTTTCTGCAGTTTTCCTCTCTGCGCTCTCCCTGTCCTCTTCCTTCTCTCTCTCTCTCTCTCTCCCCCTCCTTCCTCGTTCACGCGCGCGCGCGTACACAAACTCTGTCTCTCCCGGTCTCTCCCGGTCTCTCGTCTCTCCCCCTCTCCCTCTCGCTCTCCCC